CCCTCCTGAGCTGAGGGGCCCAGAACTGAGCACAATACTCCGGGTGTGGCCTCACCAGCGCCGAGTCCAGGGGCAGAATCACCTCCCTGGTAGGGGTGAAAGAAGATCTTAGGTTCACTGAAGTGGAACAGAATGGGGAACAGCCTCGGAAAGCCACTAGGAGCAATCATCAGGGTCAGGCTGTTCCACAAAGCAGGCCCTGTTGAAGGGCTGCACCAAAGGAATGCTTGGAAGAGTTCTGGCAACCTTGTCAGAAACCTGTGCAGCACTGCAGCCTTTAGCAGAGGTTTAACAGATCTGCTTCTCTGCCATCACACCCAGCCATGCTTCCCACTATGCAGGGGAGTCCCACAATTTCTTTCCATTCAGTGATCCTACATGGAGACAAACAGTTCATCATTGTCCTAGAGCCTCTTTGGCCCAGGCAGGCTGGCATAGCAGGGCACAGTAGGCAAGTCTTTGTTTAAAAGTACTATTACAGCTCTACAGGTGATACTAATAGGCAAAAAACCTCACAAGTCAGGTTTCCCAGAAAGGGACTGAAACCTTGAAACATTCAGATATATATTTATAGGCTGGATTTGTGACTGTAAATATCTTCAATTTCTTCTCTGTCCACTTAAAACAGAAAAACAATCATCTTAGGATTCAAAGATTCAGTCTTTAATATTATAAAAAAAATATAACAGCTGTATACAAGAAGAGTCATCACAAGATTATTATTTTTTGGAAGTTCAGGGCCAACTTTATGGCTGTAAAGTGCATCATGAACTATAGGTTTCATGTCAAGGTTTGTAGAGCAGAGACTCTCCTTGTGTGTTTCTGTGTGGGAAGTTTGTGTATCTGTTCATCAGCCACTTTTCAATCTGTAGACACAGATGAGAGGCAGTGAGTAGAGCTCCTCATGCTCTTTTTGGCTGTGGTATAGTTTGCCCCATAAATTTGTTCCAAAAGTCCTGGATTAATGAAGAGTTGGAACACATTGTTTTCATGAGGAGATAACAAATCTGGCTCAGGCTCAAGTATAAAGATGGTGAGATAACACAATGAGACAGCACAAAATGAGGTTCAACTCAACTGAAAATTCTCAATCCAAACCCCCAGTTTAATAAGATGAATAATTGAATTAAACATGCATAAAGCTTGTGGCTTAAAAATAAACATCACTTAAGTTTTTCCAGTCAATAAAATCTTAAGCCATTATTGGTTTAGGCAGCACATTGTGTTTGCCTCAGTGTATAGTGTTTCTGTTTTCAGGGGAAAGCTGGTCACTTGGCAGTGTTACCTGGATATTGGAATGTATACACGTCCTAGAAGAGATTTCAAGGCAAAGAAAAAGATCTAATGTTTTGTACAAGTTATCATTTAGCTATTTGTAGGAAATCTTGTGGAGATATAATTACTTCTTAACTCTAAATGATAAAATAGAAGGAAGCAACCCTTCCTAGTTGTTTAGAGAAGAAAAAAACCTGAAAAACCCTACAAATATAGGGGAGGAAAGTCAGTAAGACAGAACTTCATTCTGCTTTCTCAAGCACAGGATGTTAAATCTGGCTTCCAAAGAAGAATAAAGCCTCTGTGGTAGATGAACCCTCTGGATTCAAGAATAGTATTTGTCTGCTATAAAGGATCATAACAGCACACAGAAGCATTGAAATTGAGTTTTGAGATACAAAAATAATCTGCTGCTTTATCTTGTCCATCTGTCAGCCTCACTCCATTTATAGCACTGTTGTCATTACAATAGAACTCCAGATTCCTGAATAAATGTAAGTTAAAAGCAAGGAGGAAGATTTCTCTCAAATACAAGTTACATAAGGCATCATTCTGACCACATATAAATACACACAAACCCAACAGAAACTACTAGATCTCCTGGCAACACTAGGAAAGTAGATGACTCTCAAAGATAGTGTCCATACATCATTTCTGTCTTTCAGACCATAGTGTGTACACTAGCAGTAAAAAAGTAAATGCTTTGAGGGTTTTTTTAATAAGATTTTTTTAAAAAATGATGATAAATATTAAACTTTCTCATGGTTAGTCTAGTTCTCTGGGAGGAAAGTGCTTTGTGGGAAAATTTCAAGGGTCTTGCTAGCATTGTATAAAAAACAGATGTATGTATGCCAAGCCCTAAGTCAGTGAAATTCACCAACATTCTATTAAAATAACCAGAACAACAGCATTTGGCACTAGAGAGCCCATACACTGTCACTCTTATTTAGCTGAGATTCTATTCAGACCTTAGGCAAACCACATGATTGTTAGTCTCCCTCAAAGAAGGGAAAGAATAATCCATCAAAGCAGGCACCAGTCAGTCATGGGAAAAGGCATTTGGATTATCAGTAAGTCTGGGGTGGAAATTAAGATATATACAAGGAACAAGTTAAAAATAGTGTCTCAAGGAGTTCTGGCCAAGCTCTAAGCAGCATATTCCACTTATCAGAGTTGTAATCTGTCTTCTCTGATGATTCTTAGCTCTGTATGCCCTATATAATCAGTTTTATAAAGTTATTATCTAAATAAAAACTCCTGGTTAGCACTTGGACAACATCCTAAAGTAGATTTATTAGTTAACCAAAAACCCTAATCTCTTCCCCAAGTCAAATTCAAGTTGATATTAAGGTAATTTTACATTGCCTTTTAGGCCCACTGAAAGTACTCTCACAACACAAACGCGGGATCTTCCTTAACAGTCTCACCTGGCTCCAAGTAATTTTCCGCATAGCTAGAGTCCGTCCAGAATTATTTCATATGTGAGAAATGGCTGGGATGAAGGACAATTTTGATTCTTCAGTGAATGCTAATGCAATTACAAAACCCTCATTCCTTGAAAAGATAGATTCCTTTCACTTCCGTGTTGAATCTACCAAGAACTACAGGCTCACTCTATAAGTCATTGCTTTCCTAGTCTGTCTTTCTGTGTGTAGCATGTCCATTCAGCAATACATGGGATATACTGACAATGTTGCTTAGAAAGCAGCCAGAGTGAAGTCTTTGAAGACTGGTGACACTAGAGCAGAGGTGGTGTTTGGTGGTTGGTCTTCTGGACCAGCTTATGGTGAACTGAAGATTGTCAAAGTGAAATCTTTGCAGATGAATAGTATTTGTTTCAAACTCCTTTGGAGAACAAAACATGTGAAGAACTTACTAATTTGATAACTTATTTTTCAAGTCGATTTCAAAACATCCATTCAGTGTTTTTTGTTTCTGCACAGCTGTTGCTTTCAGATGCTACATGACACAGCACCTGCTGTTTAAAATTACTGAAAAAATATTACTAAGGTGGAAACTGAATTTCATGACTAACGAGTGACAGGCAAACAGCACACACTTACCTCCTTGTTTTTCTACCTTTCCTGTTCTTTTCCTCTTCTTTCTTTTTCCTTTCCCTGCTGGTCTCTCAACTGTTACTTGACTTGAGTGAAAAGGAGTAAGGACCAAAGGCTTTGAAGGGATTTGGCTTTTTAGAGCTACTTCATTTCTCATTTTTTGAACTATTGAGCTGGCAAAGTCAGGCAGCACAAATTCATACCAGCTTTGGGATCTCCAGTCTCAGATAACTTCCCTTAGTGCTTTTTTTCATTTTTATTTTTTCATTTTCCCAGCAGGAGTGCTCCGTGTCTGTTTCTGTATTCTGTTTTACCTTGCTTTAATTTATTGTTTTCCTTTTTGCTATTCAGTGCTAGCTAAATTTCTCTGCAGACCTTTGAGCTATTCCCTGGATATGGAACTTCCTGAAACTTGAATTTATTTGTACTCAGTAAGAACTGTACACTTTTACCCTTCTTGGTTTTAGATATTTTTGCTTTTCATGTACAGAATTTTACAAGATTTGTTTATTTGAGAAAGTATTTATTGGTTTTTGCCTTTGCTTCTGTCTGAACCAGAACTGCAATTTGTCAGCCACAGGCAGGGGTAAGATGTTTCATTACATATTTCCTTAATGGAGACATCAAATAATAAGCACATCAGCCAGAGAAGTGTTATGCAAATTAGAATGAATATAACAAGATTTTCAAAACAATAACAACATGTAAATTTTCATTTCATGGATCATTTGTGCAAAAAACCAAGGATAAGTAATAACTTGTCATGCTATACCTCCCAACACCTTTCAACACAACGGTGTCATTGATAGAGGCATCAATGACAAGCAGGTGTAATTGAAATAAAGCCTGTAAAGGAAAAGAGCTGTCATTGTTTCTAAATGCACATGGGGTTTGGATAGAGAATTTAATTAGTCCTTGAAGAAAAAAAAAAGTTTGAAAAGTCAGAAATGGCCTGCAGAGTGCTAGAAATGCAGAGGAGATTTTGCACCACACAAATTTTAATCAAAAATTGTTAATAGTTGTGAAATGTGCAGAAATAAAAATACAAGTGATAAGGGAATACAGTAAAACAGAGACAATATGAGAGGAGAAATGAAGCATAGTTTTACAAATAAAATGAGTAATATCATTATAGATTAATAAGGGGAAAGTGGTTGTATCATTAGAGAACTGAGAACGTCTTTCCACCCATTGTGTTCTGTACCAAGGATTAAGTCCCATGCTGTTACTGGTTTTATTACTGGATTCATCTACTGTGCTCTGGAGCTGTGCCATCAGCACAGTATTTTGTGGGTTTATCATTCAGAAAAAACTTTCAACACAAGCTACTGACAGTGTCCAATCTCCCCCATTCGTTATGCACTCCCAGTAGATAGGCTATGGGTTTTCCCCTTAGCTGAAGCCACTCAAAGTGATCTCATCTGATGTGTTTCGTTCAGGCGCCATCGCTGCAACCACAAACCCACAAGGATTTACGACGATGCATACAAGCCATGCTTCACATCAGAGTATGAGGAAAAATACCCCCATTATGGCAACACCTGCCCTCCCAGGAGCTGTAAGCCAGAACAACAGTACCAAATGCATCGTGGGAGAATGGAAGGATGCACAACGTTTATGTAAGCATTTTGAATAAATGTGTTTTACAATTACTCTATGAAGTTTTTCATCCCTTCTTTTTAAAGGGGGGACTGAACACTGTGTTGCAATATGCTCAAAATGCAGTAACTGCATCCTTTACACTTTTAACATATTTAAAGCATAAATTTTAAGTATAGAAATACAGTTACCACAAAAAGGTCATACAAAATAGCAAAACATGGATGCAGCAAGATTTGCATTCTTTACAGCATCCTATAAAGATCATCTAAAATCTTTGGGTTTAGCCTGTTTTGGAAATCTAGGTATCATGGAGCCTGAGAAGCAGACAAGCTGGAATCTGAGCTAGTGGGAAAGTGACGTGTGGAATCTGAGCTAGTGGGAAAGGGAAATCTTAAGAAAAAAGAACAGTGTCTTCCAGTACCTGAAGGGGCTACAGGGAAGCTAAAGAGTGACTCTTTGTTAGGAGCTGTAGTGATAGGACAAAGAGTAATGAGTATACATTGAAAGAGGGGAAATTTAAATTAGATATTAAAGTTTTTCCTGTGAGGGTGGTGAGACACTGGCACAGGTTGCCCAGGGAGGTAGTAGATGCCTCAACCCTGGCAATGCTCAAAGCCAGGCTGGATAAAGCCTTGAGCAACCTGCTCTGGTGGGAGGTGTCCCTGCCCAGGGCAGGGGGTTGGGACTAGATGATCTCTAAGGTCCATTCCAACCCCTGAACATACTATGAAACTATGAACAGGGATTGGTTTTTTAATTCATACTGTTCTAAATTATTAGTTTCAAGAAAGCCAACTGTAAAGGGGTTCAGTAGGCCTGAAGCAACTTTTTAAGACTACTTTCAGGTATTTTAAAGAATAGTTTTAAACTGTGAATGAGACTTGGAGTGCTGAAAAAGTTGCTTCACCATCTACCTTTGAATCAAAGCTCTATCATGCATCAGAGCCCCTAGATTGATGCACTCTGGTTCTCTTTCCTCCATGCTATCCCTCTAATTATGGCAGCAGATTGATTTTTCAGAGTAAATATTTTAAGTTGTTCTTTTTCCATAGAGTGGAAAAATTACAAAAGTGACTTTATCAGGAAAAATTAATTTTTTTAACCAGTGTTTTTTTTTTTTTCTCCAATCCAGGTCTGATTATGTACCATACAATGTTGTGAAGAGACCTCCTAGGAAACAAGAAGAATATAAACCGAAGCCAGGAAAGATTGATCTGGGAACCACATACCAGAGAGATTATAATGCTCATGAAACAGGACCACTGATATTGGCAAGGCCCCTAGAGAGAAAACACACTACAGGAGGAAAAATGGATACCATACCAACTTATCGAGGTAATAATCCATGCCACCTATGGAAAGAGAAGTTACCAAGATGAAGGCAGTGTTCTGATTTATCTATATTAGAAACTGGATTTGTTAGTTTGGAACAGAGAGCAAGACATAATAGAAAACAGGTGATAATACCTTAAAAAGTTCAGCACTTCAGTTGTTCAGAGGTGACATTTATTGGCTCTGAACAAAAACCCCTCTCTGAGGTTTTCTTGGCTAGAAGGAAATGCTATCACACACTTGGTTAGGCTATCTCAGGCAAAAGTGGATTATAATTAATGTGCAATATATCTTTCAGGTAGTTTTAGTTCATGTGACATATTTTTCCACAGAGTAGGTCAAAAGTGGATTTTAGATTTCTGCTTGTGTACAGTATAGCTTGGATCTTATCCTAGTAATGATCTGTCTTGACACAAATTACTCTATTACAACAGTCAGCACAAAGTCACTGAGTCTCCTTTTATGCCTTTCTGGCAAGTGACACTGACACACTTTACACCAGTGGAGAATTTTATACATGTGTTACTGAATTTGTTACAGGTACTGCATTTTAGCCGGATAAAAGTAAGTAGAAATAAATTATGAGATATGACCTACTAGAGTGATGGAAATCAAGACTGAGATACCAGTGGTACGGAAGAGATAGTTGAAATAACAGGAATCAGATATGGGTATTAAACCAGGAAGTCAGAATTCTTGGTGTGTAAAGAGCAGAGAGTGCAGTGACAGAAGAGCTGAAAGGACAAAATGTGGGGAAATAGGCACTTAAAATCAGTTATAATTCACTAGCTTCTTCAGGCTTAGGCCTATGCTAGATAGAAATGCATTTATATAAATACATTTTATTTATTAGTTGTAAATATATTATAAGAAGATTGTAAGATTTCTATTTAGCCTACAAGTAAGTAGTAAGTTAGCAAATAATGAATAAATTAGCCTAGTCTCAGGGTGCTACTAAGCTGGCATGAAACTGCTTCATTTAAAAAGTGTGTTAGTGACAGTCAACAGGGAGTAAGGCTCAAGGAGTGGAAAAATACTGAAGCTGAAGTAAGTACAGTGATTGCAAAATAACAAATTGTTTTCAAGTGCCTGTGAAGACGTTTATACTGGACAGTAACTTTTGTAACTGTAGTAGAACAGTCTGTCAAAGAAAACAAAAATCCCAACAAGCTTTCAAAGGATGTAATATTGATAGGGAAACTGAGAGAGATGATTCTTCCAAGCAAGTAGTGAACATAATCCACTGACCCATAAGTTTCCTTTCAGTCTTGTATATTTGCATAAACTTCTAAGTAAAATGGAAGATATGGCATATAACTCCTGTAAAGGGCTTTTTTTTCTGAACACACACTAAATAAGTACATGCAACATTTTCTTTTTCCTTGAGGAATTAGACAAAATAGGGCATCTTGTACAATCTTCTTGTCTGTTTTTATCATGTGCTATAATAGAGGAGAGTTTTGCCCTATCACAAATATGGAGATCTAATTATCATTCTCACATCCATTTTCTTTGTTTTTCGAGATTTAATACCAGAAGAATTTATCTTAAAGAAATGGTCTTAAGTAATGACACCTGTATGGTGAAATTTTGGGTTTGCCTTACAGATGACTATAGGTTATGGAAAATTAAAAGAAGGGAACCCTGTACAACTGAGCGTGTATACCAGCCACCTACAGAGAAGTTTGGAAATCCTACTACATTTCAAGATTGCTATAGTCCTAAGGAACTGAATCCCACACAAAGTTTTAAACCTATTTGGGTAGCCAAGCCTCCAGATGTGCCTTTTGATGGTGTCACAAGCCATCGCACTGATTACACCGTTCATCAGCTGGAACCAAAATTCCTAAGACCCAAAGAAAAGTACAAGCCAAGTGAGAAGCCCTTTGAAGACCTCACAACCCATCGGTCTGATTTCAAAGGGATACCTGGGCAAACTGCAAAAAGCTGCAAGCCTGGAAATGTGAAAGTGGGATCCAATGCTCGTTTTAATGGACTCACTGAATTCCAGGATCGTTATCAGCCATGGCCGGTCTCCTTGCCTGAGGTCCACAAAACAAGGGAGTATGTTCCACCCACAGGCAAGATGGATCTCAACTCCACAAACCACCTTGATTACATTGCACATAAGATTTCTCCTGCTCTCCCCATAAGACCAGTTGAAGAAAGAAGAATCAGTGACCCTTTTCAAGGGACCACTACTACAAAAGATGACTTTAGACCTTGGCGCATCTGCCGGCGTGAGATGACTAAGAAAGAACAGGAAATCGAAAAACCCACAGGAAAATTTTGTGATTTAACTACATTCAGATCTCATTACATACCACATCAGGCCATGCCAGCAAAAAGTTGCAAACCTGTATGTGCTATAGATCCTAATTCAGCTCCTTTTCAAGACAAAACTACTTATCGCACAGAATATATTCCAAAGAAGAAAACTACCTGTCCAGCAAGCCTTGACTTGCCTCCAGGCTATGTCTATGAATACACAGATTCTGACGGTCACCAATTTTTCCACCAGTCGACTCCAGAACACTCTGTGTCAAACAGTAATCCTCCACCAAAGCAAGTAGCTGTTGTGTCATAATACTTGAATGCAGTGTTTCAAGCACCCTGGTGAAATAATTGGACACCGAAAGCAAATGAAATAATGCAGATTTTGCTTCTTGAAGAAGACCAAAGCAAAACCAGAAGTTTATTACAAGATCAATAAAGATTTGCCAAATGCTGTAGGAATAATTCAGCTAACATGGCATCTGTCCATCCTTTTAATTGTTCATTCCCTTGAGATTTTGCTGCCCAAATCACAAGATAGCATGCTATGACACCTAGGCATTTCTAAAAACCTGCTTTTAGCTCTAGTCATCATCACATTTCCTTCATTCAGTTTCCAGGTGAACATAAAGGTCACACTGTAATTTCTGATAGCAATTAACACGTAGTAACACTGCACTTTTTCTGCATGCATAGTGAAACCACTCAAACACCAAAATCAGGTCATTAGCCTGTTTTCTAGTTTCCCTGATTGTACTCTTTCAGCCTTACTTCCACAGGAAACAAAACCAATGCAAAGCTTTGGCCACATTGACCCACTAAGTGCATGTGTCCTCCCCAGCTGAGTAATTTTTAAACCTAGTGTACAAATTCAATCAAATTTCACAAAGAGATTTCATAGGTGATTTTTTTGGTTTGATGTTTCTAAGGTAGATGGTGGGGAAGCAGGGAGATCCAGGCTCAAGAAGTTAACACCCACCCCAGTTTTGATCCTGCTATCTCATTTTTAAAGGTTAACAGCTGGTTATCACTGCCAGAGCTCACTTCAGAGTCGCTTTGAAGGGTGGGATGGCAGAAAACTACACAGGTGTATGTAGAGATAACAGAAAACAGTGTAAAGTCGCTTTAAAAAAAATACCAACTGAGATGCAAAAATCTGTAGACAGCCTGGCTTCAGGCTCTCTGCTCTTCAAAGAATTCCTAGTTCCAAATACACAAACCCCAAGCTTTTTACATCACATACGCAATGATTATGTTTCTGTTTGAGTTACTTAGTATTTTATCAATGTATCTTTAGCTGATTTTGAGAAATCGAGATGAACCAATATGAGTTCTATTATGTTTGTGATTTAAGTAAGTCCCAATCAATGGTTCTATGACACTGTATTATCCTGCTCTATCCCCGTACTCCAATATATATTTTTTCTCAGTATTGCTTATCTTGTACCCACTAGTGTAGGATAGTCATTTGGGTTCTGAAGAATTATGTGCTTGCACTTCATAAACCAAATCACCAATGAAAGGGCTAAGATCAATGATGGAAACATTTTTAAAGCAGGAACTTGGTCATATGAAAGCAAAAACGCTGAACTGAGCTTATCAGCTGTGCACAAAAGCATTGCAGGAGAGATCTAGACATTATTAAAGCATTAGCCACTTTTAGGTATTTTTTCTCTTCATATGTGTTGTTGTATTATGACTTATTCTGCTAATGAAACAGCAATTCATTTATACGTTTATTTCTGAAAATTATTCACATCCCCCAGATTGTGAATGAACAGGAATACTATAAATCTGTGAGATCCTAAAAGCAGGACAGGAAAAAGTCCAAGTCATTGTCACCTTCTACCAAAGTAGAAAAAAATAGGAACATCTTTTTGAGTCATTCTCAGTCTGGCCACAACTGAGGAAACAAAGTCAAAACTTTGCACAGTCACACCTACCCAGGTCTGTGTCCTGTACACAGTCTTGGTGCCTCTTGAGCAGTTTACAGAAGCTCCTAACATCCTCCAGCTCTCTTTTCTAGGAAGGAAGAAAACTCTTTGGGAATTGCAATCTGAATCCATAAAGTTCGATGTGCCTGCCCGTTCTGCTCAAAATGGTTCTTCCTCTGGGTCTGTGAGTGAGCCCAGATGCTTATTTTAATTTTCACAGCTGTTTTTTCAGTTCTGAAGTCACTTCCCTCCCTAAGTTATGGAAAGTCATTTGCTGCCACCTACCAGCACAGTACAAACACTTAGAGAGGAAGTGGAGGGCAAATTCAGATACATTTAACAGTTCCTCTGCTGGTGTGTGTATAGACTTTTTTAGGGTGGAGGGCCGTATTCCTTTCATTTTGTCCTTAATGTTTTCCCCCAAGTGTAATAGTGAAAAAGAGAAGCCTTTATTACTTTATAGCTGAAAGAACCACAGCCTACTGATTGTGCTTCCAGGAAAAGCAGCAAATGATACTATAAACCTTCAGGAAGTATTCAATACTTGATGTCAACTTTTTCACAAGCAACATGTTATTGCAATGTAGAGCAAATAAAGAGCAGGCTGGAAAACTAATACTTTTCCAAAATAACAGCTGTTAAAAAAGCACTTTATGATGTCATGCAAAACCAAGATGTAAAAGCAGAGAAGTTATTCATGGATTCAGCTGCTATTCTAAAAGCACTTTCCATGCACTGTGCCATGCAGCAGAAGGCTCCACACAACTGCTGTACAGAAGCTTTTCTGGTTTTCAGACTGCACAAAAGGAACACACTGGTGAAGCACAAGGATAATTAAACAAGCCTGTGCACCTTTGCCAATACTGCCATGTAGGATAACTCTGACACAACAACACTCCATTGCTGGACACTTATTTTCTATTTAATAAAATTTTTAAGGCTTTTCTTGTTCAAACTGTTTATGAGACTTTTCTTTCTGAAGACTGTTACACATATTGCACATTCTGAAGCTTCTTTTTCATGTAGCTATTCCCATCACTCACCAAATACAAATCACAGAGCTGTTCTGTCAGATCTAAATGAACTCTGCTTGGTGCAGTACATGAAAGCCACCAAAGAAGTGTAACTTTGTTCCACCTCTTTACAGAATCCTGATTCTAGATTTCAGTGAATCACAGCTGACTTATTTGGATTTTGGCAAATTCTCTTCCAAATTTTTCAGCCAGGTTACATCTATGTTACCTCTTAATAGCAGTGCAAAGCAGACTGTAGTGAAGTTGAGAATCTGCTTGATAAGCTTTAAAAATAAGAACAAATCTAAGGCTTTGAAGAAACCCCAGAATTATGGACATAGTAGGATGATAGGATAACACAGAATGAAAGGATGGTTACCATGAAACTCATGGTAATAAACAATCTCTGGGGAATCACAGTGGTGAATAATCAAACTAGACTTTATTTCAGAAATATCAAAACTACGTTCAAGAAAGCTAAAATCTTTAGTTACTGGAGAAGCAATAAAATAATCTACAGAGGAATGTCATGCCAATTGCAACAACAAACATTTACAGCACTGCTTCTGTATAGCATGCATACTTAACCAAAGACAACCAAAAATGCTATGTGTTAACATTTGAAAACTTTAAATATAAAGGGAAAACATGAATAAGAAATTTTGATAATAAGTAAAAATATATGTCCAAAAATCTTTATTAAACACTGTACAAAACAAAATATTGCACTTTTAAATCAGACAATAAATATCTACAAAAGTATCTTACAAATGTTTTACTTTAATTTAAAAAAACTGCTTAAACAATCAAGACCCATTGCTGATTAAAAAGGTAATGATCAGGAATTTCCTCCCCTTGCAGTCAGCCTTGGATATGATAGCTCACCTCAAACATCTCCTATACAGTAGTGCTAACCTAATTTCAGTGATGCAAACCCTCTGCTTAGGAATGCTGTGTCTGAACTGCTCTGACAGCACACCCACTCACCAGCCTGGAATGCAGTTCAGTGATGTAACAAGAGCCAAGCCAATTCAGGCCTCCAATACCTGCAGTAGTTTGGAAACTACAAAAGAAAAAAAAAATCTATCTTCTCCCTCCTGTGGGGTCCTCTCTGCTTACAGACCTAATGAGACAATCTGCAATATGGAAAATAATAGGGATATCATAATAAGAATCTATCACCTTGCAAAAGACTCAGATGATTAATGGTCATGATGAAAAGTCCTCTTGATGGAAAACTACTCAAAACAGATTTCTTGCACTTGTCTATCTTTGTAATTAATAATTCTTCATTAAGCAATTTTCTCATTAAAAGGGGAAAAATAAAATGTTTGTTCAAGACAGGACATCTGTCAGCCTGTTCAGCCAGTTATTGGCTCCCCATCTGACTTGATGTGCAAGAGAACAGTGCTCACAAATGTCTGGTTCACAGCTCTGACATGGAAGCCTTCTGTCTAATTTAGTACCGGTAGAAAAGTCTAATCATGCCAGAACTTTGATTGTACTTCAGGGACTGGAATTAGAATAGAAAGAATGAAAAATGACACCCCATTTATTCAAGGCAGATCTATTGCTGCTTTGAAAATTGTACTAGCATCTACAGTGTCTTTTCCTGCATACACACAAATACAGGCACAAAAAATTCAATGTACTTCTGTGTCTCCATCTGACAGGCAATATCAGTAAAACATATCCTGTGAGATCAACCCTTAAGCTCAAGCTGTTTATGAAAAAGCAGTTGCTGCCAAACATTTTACAGCTACAAGCCACAGCTTCTATAAATTTTAAAATTGTGTTAAAATATCTAAAAAAAAATTAAAACAAAACCTAGGGTTCAACAGTTGCTGCATGTCAAAATTTTTCAAAGTATTTTTGTGACTTCTCCTACATTAAGGACAGTAAGCACTATCTGGTGCCTTCAGGTAATTATTTTTTCCCTGATCAAATTATAATGTGATGCCCTGTAAAATTTGACTGATGATACGCCATGATCTTATTTTGCTAATCCAGACACAAAAATGTTTACAATATTTAAAGTCCCATTGCAAAGAGTGGATAAGAAAAGTTCCCAGAAAAAATATCCTGTCCAGCACATCAATCTGCAATCCTGCTGTTTCATTAGCCCCAAGTTTCCATTTAGCTGTTACAACTAATGTCTCATTTACAAGTATAAATTTTGAGCAGGTTAGTTTAATGAACCTCTCTTCTCATTTCTTCACTGCAGCATCATGGACTTGCCATAGAGGACTTACATTTCTTGACATGATTGACAACATCTTTGTTTGTAGGTGTCTATCAAGCATAACTTTAGTTGCTTTACAAATGTACAGTAGTGAGTTGTATCCTTGCATTCGCCTTCTGAAAAATATATTTAAACATTACAAGGCTTTATAATGAGCAAAAGAGAAATAGTCGAACTTGTCATTGCAATTGTAAACAACTGATGGATTCCTGGTAGATTTGTAATTATTTTACTGTGCATTTCTGGCAACAGTGGATTCAGAGCTAAACAAGGTCACAAGTAAGAGGTGTGATCTCACTGCATTCATTTACTTATTGTCTGTTTCAGAACACTATCCCATCTTGGAGGAATTAACAGCTTGCTCAGAGACTTGTGAGTCACAACTGGCACGGTCATGTAGAGAAGTTTGCAAAAAACAACTTCCTAAATATCCTGTTTCTAAAAGTGCTTTTGAGGCTTTAATATCACACTGGCCTGCTTAGAGAAAAGTAACCCCAGGTTTCTGAAGTGCTCCTTGGAGAGGATAATTTTACCTTTGATGTACAATCAAATGCTTGCAGAATCATTAGTGTACAACTGTGAGTCACTTTCTAATATAACTACTACGAACTATTACTATGCTCATATTTAAATAAACATTTACATACTGTCACAGGATGTGACATTGCAGTGTTGCCAGGTCACTGGTCTCTTCCTCCATCCACAATACTGGTCAGCCACGGGTCTGCTGCTCTGTCTGTGTACGCAGTACACTCGTCTTGACTGAAATCCACTCCCACAGTCCACACTGCAAGGCCTCCAAGGACCTGTCCGCCAATAGACATCACATGCCTCTGAAGAACAGTTTCTTCTGACAGGAGGCCTGTGGAGGGAAAGAAATGGCAGTTCAATGTTTGCTTTTGTGCTAAACCTTTATTCACAGGGTGATAGAAGTGCTGTTGGAAGGGACGTCTGGAACTGATTAGCCCACACCTCCTGCTCATACCACAGCCAACCAGACCAGGTTGCTCAGGATCATCTCTGTGTTTTGAATATCTCCAAGACTGGAGACTCCACAACCTTTCTGGGTAACCTGTTCCAGTTTTTTCTTAAACATAAGTTCAATTCCCTGTATTTCATTTTGTGCCCATTCATCATGCCTGCTTACTCATGAGGAAACAGAAGACAAGGCTCTGTTTCTTTATATCAGTTCCTTAATCCTGGAATAGGAAAAGTGTTTTACCTTTTGAGCAACTTAACTGACCCTGAACGCTGCATAGTACACTGCAAGTTCTTTGTGCATAACATCTCTTGAGTTCCCAAATTCATCCAGTGTCTGCAAAGGGTTGACTGTCACTACCTCCTTTCCTTGTGTTTGATACAAAAATTTGCACATTTATACTGCTTTGACAACCCTACACCTTTAACTTGATCATCTAAAGAATCTAACTTGTAACTTCGTCAAGCTGTATTACCTCTTTCTTTCATCACAAAAAGAGTTGGGCACCAGAGATCCATTACGAAGTTGACATAGAAAATGACGATGCTGCAAACCTACAGGGCGACTTACACAGCGACCAGAGCACTGAAAAGGGAGAGAAAAGGGTGAGGGGAGAGAAAGTTAGTAACAACAGAATTGCCTTTCTAGGCAGTTACTCAGCTACACAGCCCAGCCATAATTCTTGCTCTGTGTTTCTCCTTCTTCAGCCCTATCACAGCTCAGTTCGGATAAGCCCAAGATATTTTGGATTCTCTGTGTGCAGTTTTGTCAAGATACTGAGTTTCCTGCCTATTCCTAAAGCTGAATCCACTATCTGCTCTCACCATGTCATATCCCTAGTGCTACAACATTCTGTAGCTCTGACAATCACAAACTTGCCTTGCTAAAAACCTGTATTGGGAATGCAGCAACAGTAATTCTAATGCATTACTTAGCACATTGACTAGTAAATACTGTATTAATAATTGCAAAAAACATATCAAGGTGAACACAAGTTTACTGTGCAAGGGAAGAAACAGAAAATACAGGAAAATGAAGTTCTGTGCATTAAATATTGTGGCAACTGCTGTTGAAGCATTTTCACATGTCTTTTTCGAGGACTTCACAATTATAACTGTGCAGACTGTGTTCTTAAAGACTGCAGTAAAAGCAAAATACTGGCTTGGAAAATGGAATTCATCATAATGGCTTAGCTGAAACTAATACTCAGGTTTCAGGTCGCATCTTCAACAAATAAAAGTAGCTCAGACATACAAAATGGAAAACAAAAACCCACAAAAAAACCCAACCCAAACCACGATTTCTAGCTGACTGGTATGAAAGGTAATTAGAGCTACTGCCACAGAGCTCCTCCCCTGTGCAAGAGGACAGATGTTCAGCCAATGGCTTGATGACACTGATGTACTTATGATAGCATAGAGTAAAATGTTTGGAAGTGTGGTAGTCAAGGTAGACCTTAGTGACAAAGATGGATATTATGTTAGTAGAGCAATGCGAACTTGTATGTACTTGCATATCCATCTGCACATACCTGCTTGATTTATAGATTATTATTATAAGATTTTGAAACTATGTTTGGGGGGACCATAACAACGATCAAAGGGCACTTGAAGTTATGCCTAGGGAGGATTGTAACAATAATCAAAAGCAACTGGGATCCATGCTTGGGTGAAATCAACAGAATAATAGTAATGTAATGATTAACCTATGGTTATGTAAGAGAAGAGTATAAAATGTATCCATCTCTGATCCATGTCGGAGTCAGATTTGGGTCTGTACCCCGACTCCCAGAGCTCTTCAATAAAAGCACCCATATAATCATTCAGTGATTATGTGTTTTCTACGCTAACACTTTGAAAGTAGAAGGAGTTTGCAGACAAACTCTGTAACTTACCTGTGCTTTTGTCTGTACTGGCTGCACTGTACACGAGTGACCTGTGCAAGGTTTCCTGCCCACAGGTCGATCTCTGTGGGCACAGGCACCTGGCAGCACTGCCAGCACACTGCCATTGGCTTTTACTTGCTGACACCTTAGTTCTCGATGGCGAAATCCATTGCCACAGGACGCAGAGCACTCAGACCACGGACCAGCCTCCCACCTGCAGGGAGCACAGGCAAATCATAGCAATTATTGTAAACTTGCTGGTGAATTGCAGCAACTGTTTGCAAACAAAACCCAAAAGGACCTGTCACTGCACGGTTTAGAGGTGAGAACAGGTAGAATCAGCTTTTTCAGTTAAGCAAGACTTTATAAATGTGGTTAACTAATGACTTAGCATATATCCTAACAGAAGTTACACTGCTTGTACCAGAAACTTATACTAGGTAAGCCCTACAGCCCCTGCTGGATGGGACTTCCCAGAAGGAAGGACAGTATACTTTTCCATAACTTATAAAATTAATAGTACCCATTTAGTTACTACTAAGGTGAAAGGTGTCATAACTCATCCAAATTTATTACATCGAGGTCTCAGTAGATAATGGCTCAAGCAGAATATATCACTTATTGATTAGAAGTTGCAAATGAGGTCTCAGTAGATAATGGCCCAAGCAGAACATATCACTTATTGATTAGAAGTTGCAAAGCTTCAGTCTGTCTTGGCAGCTAGGAACAATCCTGGGGAGGCAGCAGGTGGTAATACAATCTGTTTGACTTGAGCTTTTCATAAATCTAGACTAGAAATACCAAACGGGACTTTACGTATAGCACAACTGTGATAACAGGAAAAATATTCTATTCTCTTCAGCAATTATTTCATTTTCTTACAGTCAAACAGCTTATATCCATTCAAGGAAGATTAGTCTTTTACAGTCTGTACTCTTGTCTTTTTCTCCTTTTTAGAGCTCAAGTACTTTTGCAAACATTTGGTGCAGTGTATGTGCAGCAAAGCACAAATTAAGTACATATTCAAACTCTTATATTTGCTGAAGTCTACTTCCATGCTGTGCCAGAGACAAGTGATTAAACACATGCAAAACATTTTGAGTAACAAGGGCCCATGGCACTGGCCACACGTCTAAAGCCTTTATCATTCTATGGATACTTTCTAAAGAGCTGCCTTGGGATGAGAAGGTTGTGCAGAAATCAGTAAGTGGGGAAATGGGAAGGGAAGTCTGGACATTTTGCACATCCCTCCCAGGTCAGTAATCACAGCGAGGGGGAGAGGTTAGAGACAACCAGGAACCAGACACAGGACTATTTTTCCAGGAATATGGGCTGCTTTTCCTGTATAGAAAGCACAGGATACTTCACGAAAGAAAAACAATTAGTATGTTAGCATGCATGTATAACTCCAGGCAGAGTTAATTACGTTAGTATACACACAAGTCCCTTCCACTGGTGAATACATGAAGCCAAATTAAAGGCAGAATAAATCTTAGCATTTTAAAAGACAATTCAGTTCCCATTCTGTTTAGCCACATGAAATAACTGATTTGTTATTGTTGTGAATACTCCAGGCCCAGTGGTAATCAGATTGTTCAGTCATGCCCTACAATCCATGAAAGGCATGACCTGCTCTGGGGAGCACCAAGCCCTTTTGTATCCTCTGCACTGTCACCTGCTCCAAATGGCTGGAGCTTAAGAGTGAAACCTGCAACTGAATCTGTGTTTCAAACTATTAGTTCTATTTCAGTGTTTTTCCACTGGCAAAACTTTTGCTTGCTATGGGCTGGCTGGAGTCCAGGCTCACAATTTAAAATGATCTGATTTTTGGCTGCTAATAATGATTTTTCCACTGGCAAAACATTTGCTTGCTATGGGCTGGCTGGAGTTCAGGCTCACAATTTAAGATGATCTGATTTTTGGCTGCTAATAATGAAATCTAAACAAATTTCTCCTGATATGTATCTGTTGCTATGTTCTCTGTATTTAGAACACACTGGCAGGATGCACTCCCACAATGTCAGTTAAGGTCTTAACACTTCTCTCCCAATATTTTCCAGTGAGGGACAACTCCAAAATGTGTACATCCCTCACAGATTTTTATGCTGCTGACAGTGATGGCCAATTCTTTAAAGGAACAGAAAGCACTTGTTTCAAGGGCTCCTGGGAGGTTTCCTGCTAATACAACAGAAAGCACTTGTTTTGAGGGCTCCTGGGAGGTTTCCTGCTAATAACATGGATCAATGCCTTATTGAGCTGGAATGCTTAGTGCAATTCAGATTGTCTAGAGGTAATGTGTTGACCTTTGGAATCGGATGGTGTGGGATACTTCTCTGTCATATAAATATTTTTAGCCTCAAGATCACAAGGTAACCCAGTTGATCCAGTGAGAAAATTGGCAGGGAGGACATGGAAGGAGCAATGTGCTGAGAGGCACTAGAGACAAATGAGGCATTCCACAGAAAATGGAAGAGCTCTGCTGGCACGAAGGGGGCAGCAGAGACAAATGAGGCATTCCACAATAAATGGAAGAGCTCTGCTGGCACGAAGGAGAGCAGGTGAACACAGAGTGTCCTGACTGCTCTAAACACAATGAGTTTTTCCTCTGTGTGGTGCCACAGATTTCACAACTAGCACATCACAGTGTCTCAGAGAGCTTAGCTTTTGAGGTGTTAGTGTGGTAGCAGCAAGACTTGCTGCAGCAGCATGGAGACGAGCTCAGATCTCAATTTTTCAGCTGAATCAAGCATTTCCCTACTTGCTTGTGATGTATTTTCACATCTTTCATGCTTTGGGATCCATGATGAAATAAGCCTCACATTTCAGACTCAGAGCATAAACACAGAATCAATTTCAGGAGGTTGTGAGTGTATTTTAATACATACAGAGCACATGGAAATAGAGTAGAAAGGTGCTTACCTGGCAGGACAGTCTTCTGTGTTGCATGACTGGTAAATAATTGCTGGTTTTTGCAGTTCTCTGCATAGTGATTCATTGACTGTCTGTTTCTCTGCATTCATGCACTGCAGCCCTCTGGAGTGGGTTCCTGAATGCCCACAGCTAGCAGAGCAAGGACTCCACTCAGCATATTCCCATGTATAATCTAAGAAGTGCAATTAGAAGCAGTGTGAGAGAGGCACTGTACCTTGTAACTGTGCCACATTTTGACTGATTTGGCAGCACACTCTGCTAGCTAGATAGATACTGCATCCTCTGCAGAAAAGCAAATATTTCAGCATTGTGAAAAGGGACCTTGAGGTAAAATAGAATTTAGTCCTGCTCAGCTTCCCCTCAGGTTCAGCCCTCACCTACGAGCACAAAGCTCCCTAAAAGGCAAATGGGATCAGCACATGTGCACATGAAGGGCAGAACCTGGCTCACAGTAGGAACTGATGAACTTCTTTTAAAACTTTCATAACATTTTTATACAATGAGCATTAAAAAGAGGAAACTGTAAATCAGGCTCTCTAGGTTTCCTGCTGTTCTACAGTAAGTTTATTCTGAAGAAAACTCATCTTATTCCAGACACTTCACATAATTTCAGGATTTAAGAAAATCCTGTACTAAACTGCAGAAGAGTATTTAATGCAAAAATAATTTGCCACAGAGACATCTGGCAAGATGAAAAAGGAATTTGTTTTAGAGAGCAGTTTATATTAAAAACCGATCACCTCTAACAATTCCTACCTTTATATTTGGTCACAATTCCACACTTACCCCTTCCTCCACAATTTTTTTTTGACACTTGGTAAAAGATGAAGTACTACACAATGTTGACAGATTTTTATGTGATCACAGAAGGAGTCAGGTTTTTCTATAATAACCAAGAATAATTGATAGCTACCAGCTGTGTCCACAGGCTCACTCTTCCAGCACATAATGAATTCTTTAACTTATTGTTTTTCAATGTTTCCTTATTACTTCTGGGTTTCTTAAAATAATACAAAAGGGCCTTTTTCAAAGTAGAAATAGTTAAATTTACTGACTGCAACCATGATGGAGGGACTGTACTGTTTGTTTAACTAGGATGATACTGCTCAGAAGTGCCCTCAATGTGCCTACTGTGCAAAAAGCACCAAAGGAGATTCTGCAGTCTCACAAGTGTGTGGGCACTGCTGTGATGAAACATTTACATAGGCACTTTGTATCATTTGTTGAAGTGGAAGTTGATAAAACCTGACTGATTTAAAACCGTTTAAGCTGAAAGACACTGAATTAGGCAACATGCTCTCAGCTCCTCAGATACACAGGTAGAAATCAGAGCCCCCACAAGATACTTGGATACACATTAATTCCCACATCCAATTCTGAGTGTGGACATTGTCTATTGGCTTAAATGGGACTATTCACATATGTAAAGTTAAACATGAATTACTTTCTATGCATAAAAGCAGGTTAGGTTTCGGCAAAGTCTTTACAGAGTGAAAGAAGATATTTTAAAATTTAAGAATTTGTCATATAATTTTCAACAAACCTTCCTTCTTGACATTTACCCAAACTGACATTAGTTTTGCACTAGCTGTAGTCCAGCATTGGAATTGTCCAGCAAATTGACCAGAGTTGGTGTTCACCTCTAGGATACGACCCCCAACCAGGGTTCGGTATTCCAAGGTCTTAACTTCCTCAATTGGACTATCTCCAAAGAGCCAGTGGACTGTATTTCTGTAGCTGGGCAGCACTGGGCAACCTAAAAATCAACAGTGTTTTAGCAGGTTTTTATAAACACACTGAAATGTTTGCAAACAAGTATGTATGGGTGTGTGGTTCTACATAAAACACATTACCATTCTAAGTAAAAACAAAAAACATACATTCACTGAAGTCCATGCTATGGCCCCAAATCCTGACTGACCTTTGAGTGATATCAGCTCTGTAAGCTGATGTAGAGTTACCACACTTCTTTATACTTTTCATTTCAGTAAGTTCTTATAAACTTTCCTTGGATATTATCAAAGTGGATGTGGGGAACAACTATTCAAACAGAACAAGGATTTAATCCCAGGCTCTACAACATGTAAATAGGTCTGTAATTAAACAGTTTCTATTTACTTGGGAAAAGAATCATAAACACATTAAATGAAATTACTGCATTCTGACTCCACAGGCACAAATCAGGATGCAAACAGAGGCATTTGTTTAGACAGGAAAAACCCCCAAACATTTCTGGACCACAGCTGAATCCCTTTCCATTTTTTTCAAGTGAAACTCAAAGAGTAATTACACAGCTTTAGTGTCATGGTGAGTCGCTTAGACAATGCCTAAAAGGTCACCATTCTAAAACATTTTTTGAAAAGATGAATAAAAAAATAATTGCATGTTTACTTTAAGACCTCCTCCCTGATAACAGAAAGCTAACATACAGTTAGCAAATCCAGGTGATCACCAATCCTGGACTCCTGAGAATTACACTCACTTATTCCACGGGTTCCATTGGAATGAAATAAATCAATAATATAAATGACAAAGCAGAAAAGACAACACACCTATTCTCAGTGGCTCTCCAGGTACCACAGTGACATTTGTACCAACTCCAGATGCCATTAGGACACGTTTTCTTCTGCTTCCCTTGGACAAGTGAGTGTTATTCTCTGCAAATCTTTGTTCTGTAACACAATGCATAAGATCAGCAAGAATTAAACCATGATGTAAAAAAAATATTTGTATCAAAATATCCAACATGCTAGTTATGAAGCAGGAGGACAGTAGCAGTTTGGAATTCTTTAGGATCAACTTCATTTATGCAGTTAAATTGCCCATCTAACAAATATACTTCAGACATGTAGACAGAGTAACGCAGAAATTATTTATATTTATGCAAGGTTCTAAATAAATCAAATTTATTGAACTTATTAGAAAAATAGGCCAGTAGCACTTTGTGTAAAAACACAATTTACAGGATGTATTTCCCGTTTTCCATGACAGTGTTATCTATTATTTCATTACCATCCATTAACATACAGAAATTGTAAGAAAAATAATTCTCTCAGTGGAATCAGGCCAATTCCTCTGTTCCACTAGATAGAATTATGGCAAAGTGCTACAACAGAAAAAAAGCAGAAAATCTTTTAAAATCTCATTATGCATACAGATAGCATAACATATGCAGAATCAAATGCCTATCACTATAGCAACTCCTCCTTTTTATCACATGCCGACAGAATAACTGCCAAAAACGTGGGCAATCTGTCAGTAACACACAGCTCCTACCACTTAGTCAACATTTCTGGTTTAATGAATGTACATAATAGCTATGATTCTCCTTCCAGAAGGGTTTAAATCTTTTGTTATATTCCAACTTCGGTGGGTCATTTTACATTGGCTCAATATTCTTCCGCAGTGTGCAATGTCTGTACAAAGCCTCCTCCTTGTCTGTGAACACCAGGACAAAAAAGACCCCACGAAACCACAGTGAGGACAGTCCCATAGGCAAAAGGCTGTTTGGCTTGTCAGACCTTAGGAACTTTTATTGGAAAGGCTGCACAGATTTTGCACTACTGCTGGGCTGCCCCCAGTCAGGCAGTAAATGCTGTAGCCAACTCCAAAAACTGACATGATGTTTTAGACAACACTGAGCCAGTGCAATCTGCAAGTCCTGACAGCAGAAGTCCTCCCAGTTTCACTGCAGTCCTGCTCAGCCAAAAACTTGCAGAATTTGGCCCTCTCCTACCCACTCCAGATTTATTTAAACTAGTGTCACGTGACCCACAATAGAAACGAAGTTCAGACTCTCGTGAGCAATCCTTCCAGTCACGTCATTATAATAATATTCCCCTCTGGAACATTCGAAGTTTTGATGTACTCCTGGAAAACTGAAACCAAGAAGGCAGCTTCAGTCTCCACTCATTCTCACACAGAGACTCCTATTATGTCTTTGCAACGTCTTCCTTGGCCAACAGATCCAAGCATCTCTAACCTGCCCTACTCGTGTGCTCAAGAAAGAGAGCTTTGTGGCAGGACTGGCCACGGGGAGCTGTGCTGCACTTTGTACAGCAAAATGGTGAAAAAGTTTATCTCTGGAGTCAAATGATCCAGTTATTGGAGCTATTTGCAAGGTATGATTGTATTATACAGTTTTACATTATCAATCTACTCACAATAGAGTCATTTACATGGAGTTTTTCTTTGCATTTTCTGTTCTGAGAGTTAGCAGTTCATATTCAGAATGGTTTCTTTTCCATGTCCCTACATTTTATTGGCCTCTATAATTAAAAAAATCAAACACAACACACAAACAAAAAAAAACCCCAAACCTCCAAACCAGTCTTTGCTTTCATTTTCCTGCATTTCCCTGCATATCTTCTGCAAACTCAAGCCTGCCCTGTTTCCCTAGGTAAAACCACTAGGAACAATATAACATGACAGCAGATTTAGTTTCTGATGTGTCAGCTGGTTTAAAAGGGCTGGTATTTGTTGTCTGGAATCAGGAAGATGGAACAACCTTGAAATCACAAGTTAAACCATCTGTACATAGATTCACATGACAGGAAACACAAACCAGAGGACAGATCCCAGGGAGTCAGATGCAATCAAGAATTCCAAATTCCTAATAAAGTGTTAAATAGCCCCCCAACTATTTTATTGGTAAACTTTGATTATAAAGTGGCTCACTGTTGTTATCAGTAAGGAATTCTCATTTAGCACTTACCAGTTATGTGAAGAACAGATGCAGCTTCAGCTTTTCCGAGAGCATTAGTTGCACTACAAGTGTATGTTCCTGCATCTTCATAGGAAACATTCCTCAGAAATAAAGAGCCATTCAAAACCAAGAAAGAATGGATTTGTAGAATGTCTTTCTTCTTCAACCATGTAACATTTGGTTGGGGAACACCTTTAAAATGCAAATAATGAAAACATTTATTGTGAGAGATAAGCCACAGGGTTTATATTGCTAACTGCTAGTGCAACACCCAAGAACCCCAAGTTCCTTTGACATGTCAGAGAGCAAAACCCAAAGTAACAACATTGCAGTAAAACAAGCATTTTTTCCACTCACAACAAACCTCCTCAGTTGTGATCCCTATTAATAATTCAGCATCCCATGAAGATTAGAGGTTAAAGGTTAAGTGCTGTAAGCCAAGCTCACAGACACCTTTAAAAACTGCTACCAGCCCTACAAAAACAACGTGCTCATATGTCTTGCAAGATGTGAGACCATTAAACCCAGTAAGGACCAACCTACACAAAGATCTGCAGAGCACCTTGTGATCCAACCTGCCACTCAGAATGTATGAAGAAAACAATGACTATTAAATTTTTGGGCAAACCTAAAATAAAAATAATTAATTGATGCAAAAATTTATCTCTAAGAAAAAAAGATCTATTTCTCAATTAGATTAGAAAATGCATGTGACCAGTTTATGCCAAAACACTCTTGGGAACTTCTCCAAGTTGCAGATGTGATCTCTACAACTTGTTATGATGCAGTGTGAAGGGAAAGGAACAGAAAGAGCTATTAACAATGAAAGGAGAGGCTCAGTTGGTAAGCAATCTCAGTTACCCTGATATAGGAAACCAAAGGTCTATCATCATCCCTGCTGTAAGACTTGAACTCTGAGAACCTCAGCATCTGCAGGTAACTTGTCATTTTAAATTTTAATCAGCAGATGACTTTGGACATCTATTTTTAATGAGACGATTTTTCCACTGGCACAGTACCAGTGGGAGGACTACTACCCTTTTATTTTCCTCAAAGATTTGCCTTTAAAAAGATATTTTGGAAGTTGGCAAATAAGACACTTCATTGCTTGTGCTTTGGTTGAGCTGCTGCAACAGAAATGCTCTTTCCAAGTTCCAAAATCTGAGGGAATTCACTGCAAGTTGGTGTACGTGGCACAGTGAGCAGCCACAGAGGGGCACAAAGGTGCAGGGAAGAGGCAAGTGAGAGCAGATAAATGTCTTTCACCTTAACTCTTTTTCTCACTAACTATATTCGCCAGTGCTCACTGAAGACTACCAAAACAGGTTCTGCTACAGAAGCAGACCCAAACGTGGGACATTTGGAAGTTGCAGCCATATTGAATGCTAATTCAGTCTCCTCTCTTCACAGATCATTGTGCAGTATTACTTTACAGATGATGTCTTCATGATGTGGAATGGCCTTTAGGAACAACTTTAACATTTCAATCACTGGCTTAGCACTTCCAATGCACACCTCAAGTTTTTCCTTTGCTGTAATAGGAACCAGACATATTTTTTGGAACCTGCTCTTTCACTGAAGGAAAAGCTCCCCTACCATTTTGTCTAGAAGGCAGCGGAGAGAAACAATCTTCTGCATAATCAGATTTTATTCTAGACAATGTAGCAGCTGTTCAGTTCTTTAAAACTCATGTAGAATTGTGTTTTACTGAGTAAAGCTGCATAAAACAAAGTACAGACCTGCAGGGCGCACAAGGGTCTGAAACCCAGGCTGTTTTTCAAGTTTCCAGAAGAAGGTTTATGCCACTTCAAAAAATCCTTTTGGAATCAGGATGAGGTCTTGTTTTAAGGGTCTTTTTTCCATTTTACCATAACTTTCTGGCTAAAGTGTATCACTCTCAGACATATTTTTCCTTTACAGTGTAAATTCCATGGCCATTCAGGCATATATCCTTACAATGCAGATGGGCTGAGGAGGTGGTGTGAGGATGCTGAGCTGTTTTAATCTAAGGCCTAGAGGTTTGCAGCCAGACTACCCTCACTGGCACCAGAGCCCAGCACACCAGTCAGAGCAAAAAACAAGCCAGATGCAGCACAGCTGAGATGGGACTGAAGTAAAAAAAGGTTTAAAGTCAAATTCCACAAAATGCAAAAACTTTTGGAATGGTTCGAATTTAAACTTTTAACCTGAACCTCTATCAAACTTCAGCTTAATATCATCCCATGATACAGTTCTCCCTCTGCTCTCATCACAGTATTTAGAAATGTACCTCATTCCTGGGATTTAATATAAGTATTTTTCTTCCAAACTTGGTTTGTATCCTAGAGTTTATCCTAGAAAATTTGCAATGCTTCTATTCTTCTACCCGAGTCTCATTCATAGACATGTAGAGCTTTTAAAAACCTGGACTGGAGTTCAGTTTGCAGAAGAAATCTGCAGAACAGCTTTGCCTCTCATTTTAAGTTCTAAATTGGGTATGTGTCACACACCTTAAACTCAAGTTATAGCAAACGATTCCTCTTTCTTTCTCCAAAGAGCTGTATACATTTCTCTTCAGGGGAAACAAACGAGTAATACCACACACACAAGAAAATCAGACCATTCCTCAAATGAATAATGTGAGCACACAAACATAAATTCTAGGTCTGAGGAGCGCAAGCACAGACAGAGCCCTGCAGAACAGCCCAGCTGCCATGCACAATGAATCCAGCCAAGCCATCTTAGAGGTGCTGGCACTTACAGCTAAAGAGTACGTGTGTGGGGAATCCATGGAAAACTGTCAGTTAAATATATCATGGAAAAAACAACACTAATGCATTATACACGGTTACCGCACGCTGCCGTTTTGAAGCAGAGCTGACATTACCTAGATACCTTCAGGGAGCATCCATAAAGGTGAGCTGCTTGAGCTGAAAATAGTAGTGGGGATAACCACAACATTCCGGATTGCATTTTACCCCAAACTATTGAGAGGTAAGATTTTTATCTCGGAGTTAATAATGGCTGTGTGAACTGTGTGCTGAGCCCCTCGGAACTGGCCTCTTCATGACCATTTTGAGGACCCTCCAAGGTTTTGCGTTTCATGGTTTCATTTGTTTCCTCAACCTTTGTATTATGTGGAAACCAATCCACTGTCTGAGAGTGAGTCTGGGAGATATTGAACTATCTCCTTGAGAACAACTGGTATTTGCAATCAAGCTCCTTCTGTGACCTTTTCATAGGCTTTTGCTTAGGTTGCTGTTAAGAGTATTAAGGTAAATCCTCAGCTTGAGCCCTGAGCTAAGGAAAAAAGGAAGATTCCTTTCAGAAAAGAGCTCAGGGACCTATTAGATGCTGGAGTAGAGCATGAAGGGAGGAAAGGGGGTAGGACTCTAAATGCTCTATAGTCCAGGCCACAGCTGTATGCTAGAAATCAGGAGCCTCTAACACTATCTTTCAAGGGAACCCGAAACTGGAGGACACAAATGTGATATAAAGCTTTCAGAGCTGTGCATCCAAAGAGACATAGTAGAGAAACCAGACAGAAAAAAAGGTTGATTGCATGGTGCTATCACATCTCCTAATAAACATCCTAGAAATGGATTAAAGAAATAAAGCTGGAGAAAAAGACACCCCTGTTGTCCAGCTCCTTCACGTGCTTCAGCAAAGCAGCATATGCATTTCAAACTCTTCTGGACAGCTTCAGTTTATCTGTATGTTCACATGGGCAGGCAAAAATCCTTTTTCTGCCATAACTCTCATGAGAGACAGAGTTCTTGTTTATACTCTCATTTCTGGAATTCCTATCAGGAGAAACTCTTACTGTTGAAGGACACTTAAAAAACCTATTTTTGGGTGTGCATTTACCTTTTTGCTTAACAGTGTTTTGCATAAAACTCATCATACAGCACAGCCCCAGCACACAGTCACAGTTACCACATTTCAGGTGAAAATGTTTCCATCGTGCAGATTTTCAGTGCTTCTCCTTCAGAAATGAGACTTCATATTTACTACTCCCAAGATAAGATTTTCCTTCCCTACTGATATGCTGCTCTGCACACTGAGCTGTCTCATCTATCAGCCCTTGTGAGAAAGCAGCAAAGTACACAATTCCCACATTCCTCTTGTGACAAGACTCCAACAGTAGCACTGTGGAAAACACCAATTTTCCTACACAGAAACTGCAGGACAGAGTTCAAGCAAACCATTTAGACACCAAAAATTCTCTTTTTTCTTTTTTCTAGGCAAATAGTTAAGGCCTAAAACCTTTGATTTACCCTTTAGTACTCATGTAAATAAAAACCTTTAAAGTTTTCAGTACTGTTTTCTTATCCAAGTACAAACTAAACTGAGCAAAAATAAGCCAAACATAAATTGTTGTTGTGTTTTTTGAGGTTTTTTCCTCCTTAGAGGAGAAATATTAAATTATACTTAAGCTTTGGGACATATTTGTAGGACTTAATGCAGGAATTTGTCCTGTGCACAACCTTGAATTTTACTGTAGATGCTTGACTCTCCCTTACATAAAGGCTGATTTACACAGGGACTTTAAACGAACAAAAATAAAAATTCATGCTGTCTTCAAGAGCCTTTTCCATTACAAAATTGTAGCAAGGCTTTCAAGCTGAAGAATTCCTAGTTTGATCCCCAGACAGTGTGAACAGGGGAAGAGGTAAGAGATGGCCTGTATTTCCTTTGTTTCCTTCCCACAGATGCAGCTGAGGATGAGCCCAAAGGTACCAACTCTCCCAAACTGCCACAGGCTCAGAATCCCCAAGTGCAATTTAAATCTGATTGATTCAAATGGGAGATCCATCACTGGATCCAGTAGCAGAATCAAACAACCATATCCTACAGGAGGGCACTTGGGCATAAGACTAAATCCATCCCTATCAGGGAATGCAATTAAACACATACTTAAAATTAAAGATGGCTGTATTTGTCCTTCATGAACAAAGACACATTCCTGAACTTGGGCCTTCTTAGTCTTAGAATAACCGTAAAAATCCAAATCTTACTCTTGCAATGGATCTAAATCCTCTTTAAAATTTCTACTATAGTCCTAAGTGGCTATAAAACTTTAAAATTAGTCTAATCTATTTTTCTGACCTCAAATGCAGGTTATTTTCCACTAGCACTGGAGCAGCTCTACAATACTCAATGTTCCATGAAAAAAGTCATTTTCCACCATGAGTGGCCCTGGGACAGCAAAT